CAGCCCTACTTTTTAAATGTGAAGATGACCTCGGGTGACAGACACCACATCCCACAATGTTATGCAAAGCCAGCTCCTCCCCACAGGAGAAAGCTTCTGTACTTCTACAGCTTCCAATTCTTAAGGTTTTGGTCTATTTTTAGCATGTTTCTGCTACTCAGAAAACCAGCACTGCTCTCCCCATGGATTTTCCTGTGCGGGCATACACGTTGGCAACAGCTCCGAAGGCCACCGGCAGGAACAGCCCCATGATTTGTCACGGTCTTGCTGCAAAACAACTAGAAATTGAGGATCTGTGTGCCATGACACACATCTACTCTAAGGAGAACAAGAAAAGGAAATTCTTAGATACCCCATTTAAGTATTTTTCTGAATAACCTCAAAATTCAGAGGTAGCCTTTCCAGTCTTCATAATACAACTGGTAACACAGGAATAAATTTACAGGTTTCTGTGGACATTCCCAATTGGTACTCTGGCTTCAGATGCCCTCTACTCAAAAATGCCTTCCTTTGCAGTCAGGTGTCTGTGAAAAGCTCACAAAATAAAAATTTAGTGACAGTTAAGTAAGGTATGTAGCTGAAAAAAAAAAAAAAGAATCCAGTAAATACACTGATAGTAGGAATCACTTTTTGATTATAATCTGGATAAACTCATGACAGACTTTCCAGTCTGCCGCAGAAATAGTATGGAATTCATTCAAAGATATTTAGTAATTGCTCCTCTTTTTCTTGCTTTCCTGTTTGCTGCACAAGAAAGCAGACTGAACCCCCCTTACAAACAGTGTGAATTTGGATGCCAGCTGAAAGTAATCAACCTTAAATTTCTTAAATCATTAAGTTCAAGAGGCTGCCTCTGAAAATATCCAAGATCCGTCAAGTCTGAAATGAAAATAACTCTTACTGAATTTCTACTGATTTTTTTCAGCACCGATTCAATCAATCGTCCATGAAAGTAATATGGACAAAGATTCTCACCTCACTAAGCTACAGCAGCCAGCAACCAAAAGGAAATAATTACTCACTCAGAACTCATTAAGACCAATCCCAAAAATGTGCTACACAAAAAGCAGCAAAACTTTATTGGAGATCAAGAGAATTACCATATAAGAACACAAAGATCCAAGAAAGACTGCTGGATCCAGCTGTGCTCAAATGTTAGTGCCTTCTATAAATAGCTATGATTGAACACTGAGCTAGAAATTGGCTTTCCTGTTGGCTGTGGGACTGGTAAAAACAACTGAAAGGGCTGCAAAAGAAAACACAGCGGTGCTGGTAGGGCACCTTCTGCAGAGGAGGGAGGGTGGTTCAGTTCTTCCCCCTCGCTGCTGCCTACGAACACCGGTATCGACGACCTCCCTGTCTGTGCACCTCGGCAGTGAGCTACAGAGGGAGGAGGCTGCTGGGGAGCAAATATCCATATTCCTGCTGACCACAGCCTTACGTGAATCTAACTTCCCACTCCACTGATCTGACAGGGCACCACGAGGCACGCACTTACCGAAAAGACCCTGGTACAAACGAACAGTCAAACAGGACTTCCCATCGGAAAGGAAAGAAAAGCTTGTGGCAAAGAGAGAGGTCAGAACCGCTGCTTCAGTTAAGTATCTTTAAATTATTTATTTAGATTTGAGTCACACAGAATCTGGGGACATCAAGGCTGCCGATTAAACTTCCTACATGCCCTCAACACAGAGAGCACAAAAGCCACACAGATATAAGTGAGAGGAGACAAGAGAGGCAGCACTTATTGCTCAGACCGCACGGACACACACGCAGCCGAACAAAATCCCCGTGAGAAGACACTGAGAAGCAGCAGCGAGTGAATACGGGCTGCAACGCCAGGAACTAACGAGCACAGGGATAAAATTATGACACGAAGAATGTCAGTTCAGATACGGCACAGAGAAAACGATGCCAGACAGCTAAGTGCTTGCTCTCAGGAGCAGTCGGCGTTACAGGACACTGTCAGAGGAAAGTTAAACTACCCAAATACCAGGCTGGGCATTAGGCAATGACAAGCAGTCATCACACCCAAGTTCCTGTGTCTCAAACTCTGAAATAGAGGTGACCCAAGCAGAACACAACTTATTACTTACTAACTGAAGGGAAAATGGCTTAGGCCGCAACGGAGAAGCAGCCACCCCCCCGTGGCTATCCAGTTTAGAGTAGGGTAGGAGTAGGTGAAAAAAATGAACAGCTCAAGCTGGAGCAACTCAACTGCCCCACCTCACCTGCCTCTTCAAAGAAGTTATAAATTTATCTGGGGTAAGGTACACAAACAAAAAGCCTTCTCGACCAACAAAATGATTAAGGAATTGAGAGGGATTTTGCACGTGAGACACAGTAAAGCTAAAGTAGGGAAAAAAATTAAAGGAAGAAACTGCAGCCCTGAAGTGGTCTAAAAACTGGTGGAGTATTTCTGATTGTATTAAAAGCCTTGATCTGTTTTGCAGCAAAAGAGAAAAGGCTGATTTGCCTTTTCAAGAAACAGTTCCTTTCCCGTAAAATTCCTGTAAATAAAAAAAAAAAAAAAATCCCTGCAAGATTTTTCTGTTGAATAGGTGTTTTTAGAGACAAAAAGAAGGGCAGAAAACAATACAGCTAGCCAAATGGCTTAAAAAGAAGTATGGGTGGCACAAGCTACAAGAACATAACAATGAATCTCAGAGTTTTGCTCTATTTTAACTAAAAGTATAGGAGATTGTTAAAATTAAAAGGTATAATTAAGAGAAGGTTTAGGCCAACTGAAGAAAGGTAGTTGTGGCCAAGTGGTAAAATAGCTATTGATTAAGAGTTAATATTAGACAGCATGAGGTAAGTATTTTCGTAGTACATAATCTTTACCAATAAATATTTTGGAACATCACAGAAACTGGAGAAGCACCAAGCACTGAATAAAACACATAACCTAAGTGGCCATAACCTAATATAAAGCAATTCCTGGCAATTACATTACACTGCATTCTTTTCATGATGCTGCCTTGCAGTTCTTACGCTTAATAGCACCATCAGAAATTGTACCCTGCCCACTTTATGTAAAAGATACACTTGTAATACAATACATGAAGAAAAAAAGACTTAAAGATGCGTTAGCTAGCAAATTAGTTAGACACGAGCTTCCACAGGACTGTGTAGACTGATACGCAGAAAGATTATATTGGAGATCCCCCCACCCTGTAGAGCTGTCATGGGAACTACGTGTGGATGACTGCATCCTGCTGGACTATCAGGAGAAAGGCCCTGGCGAACTGCAGGGATCAGAAAGAAAAGCAGCAAAAACGCTGGGCTGTCTTCAGTGGTAAGACATTGGAAGGAAGGAACAATAGGATTTGTACCCTTTGTGTCCTCCTTCACTGAGTAGAAACCAAAAATAGTTACTTAGGTAGCACAGAGGTATCTTTATTATTTTACAAAAGCATTGATTAAAAAAATAAAAAAACCCATTCAAAAGCAGAAACAGTTCCTGGTGGAAGGATCCTTCAGACGATGGGGTATCTCCAGGTAGGGAATCCTGTGGCGGACTGCGCTGACTCCTCGCTGTACCTCAGCTCAGGCTGACCAAGGAGCCACCAGCCTCATGTCCTGGGGGTGACCTGCTGAGCTGGGACTATCCTGGCTCACGCACGAGGGCATGAAGGTGTATTGATAAATATTTTGAAAGGAAAGGTGGCTTGGAAACCCCAAAGTGCAAGATAACCAGGACAAGATAGCAGAGGTGAAATGAAGACACCTCTCCCGTCTGTAGTACTGACTAGCAGGCAACCCCTTCACCTCTAAGTGCCACCATCAGGGTGCGCCCAACCTGAGCTCTCCCCGAGCCACACCTGGGCAGCACGCCCAGCGACTCCCCCCTCACGCAGGGATGGCTCCCAAGGTTTGAGGCTCCTCACCCGAGACCAAGAGATCCTTCCTCACCCAAGGCAGAGAGATCCCCCACCCAGGACAGATCCTCGGTAAGCGACCGGCAGCACAATACTGTAAAACATTACTGATCCACATAGCTACCCTGAACACTGTATGGGTAATTCTGTTAGACATAAACCATTGGCCAAGTCTGAAATTAAGATCGGATCCAGTCACCCCTAGGCTCCAAACGGAGTTTAGAAAGCAATGGGGTCCACTCTGAACCTCGTGACTCAACGAGACAGCCCTCCTTCTCTGCATCTCCGCTCTGTGAATCTAACTCAATTCTAACTCAACTTTCCTTTGTACATTTCTTCATGCAGTCATTAATTTGCCATCAAACTTACTGAACCTTGTCAAACCACCGTTCAGCTTTGTTAAATTCCATCAAACCTACTGAACTCTGTCAAATTATTATTTTACCTCCATAAAACACATTGCTGCTTCTCTCTTTTGAGCGCAGTGCCCTCCGTTCAGCCGCAACAAACATGCACCTGGCAGCAATTACCAGCCATCAGTTCACGTGTGGCCACCATCAGAAAGTGCATTTTCAACACCCCATTTCAGTGCTTTGCAAGACCTTTGCATGCTTAACGTGATCCCTGCTTCTCGTCACTGACTAACTGCACTCCAGTACACAAGTTGTCTTGGTGAGGCCTCTTACACCACCTCCCCGAGGGACCCAACTGCTGCAGGGGCTATGAAAGCAAAGTTACCCGTGCTTCCATCTCATCGGGACCCGCTGAGTAAACAGAATCCAAACATAAAACAATACCCAAGGGTGAAGAACCAACCACGGGCCCGTCAGTCAAATTTAAGTTTGCCACCCGGGTTTTTTTAAGTAACTTGGAGACTAACAAAGAACAGATGAAAGGGGAGAATATTACCCAGCCTATTTCCTCAAGAAGTCAGCACCAGCATTCTGCTGACTTGTATTCCTCCTTCATTTCAATTCACCACAATTTCCACCAAGACATGAAGAGCCTCCTAGTGTTGGAGAATGCTGGCAAACAAACTGTTTCCTATCCCACTGCAGGAGATTAAGTCGTATCACATCCTCTTTCTTTTAAGAGATCATTTCCTCAAGTATGGATTACCTGAGCAGCAGCAGGTGCTCCACTTGTCTGTGTTTTGGGGGGTTGGCTGACGACATTAGCAGTTGCTGGTTTCTTCTACAAAATAAAAGAAAGGCATAATAAACATCAGAAGTGTTTGTGAAGAAAAAGAAAAGCCAAGTAAAACTGTAAGCCAAAAAAAGTATTAAAAAAGGTACGCTAAAAAAAAATGCCCATTAGAACATTTTATTCAAGGCAGGTCATCCAAAAATAAATTCTCCCATCTAGCTTTAATTCACACGGACTCCTTTCAGATAGTTTTGCCCAGCCCAGAACAGGCTGACTTCTTCTGTACTGTTTTATGGATGATATATAAATCTGTGCTATTTCCAGTGGCAGAGCGACTCTGTTTTAATTAAGAGGGTAACCACATACACTTCAACGAAAAGTAGCAATGAAAGTAAGATGGGTAAACTACTGCTGTACAGACATAACTCGAAGGACAACACTGAAGGTAACATTACACCTGGGGCAGGGAAGTGAAAGATACAAAGGGCAATAGGATGGCTCCTAGGTAATAAAAACTCTGGCAACTGAAACAAAACCACGACATCACCTTTGAACCTGCAGTTTTCGCCCAAAGCAATGCCATTATTACCAAGTACCACTAAGTACCACTGCAAAAACTCAGCAATTGCTGAAATGACATCTAATGAAGACTGGGAAAACAAGCCATTAGTAACGAACACAGCAAAAAGCATCACGTTTTTGGCAGTGGCAGATGGGTAAGACCTATTCACTTTCTCCGGTAAGTGGAAGCTCGAGATTCACAACATAAAAAAAGCCTTCACGCTTTAATTATGAGCAGATTCAGTCATCAAACTTGTACCCGAACTCAGAAGCACCAGCTTCCAGCCGATGGGGCACCGGGTACTGCAACAGGCTGGGAGGCTCACAGCCCTCCGTCATTTAGGTAATTCCATCTCCCCTTCCCTTTCCCATTTAGCCCCAAAACCAGGACAGACTCTGGAATAAACAAAGCTGCCCACTCAACAGCCGACCTCCAGGCAGAGCCTGGGGCAGCAGGCCACCCTCTGCGGCCATTTAGAGAAGATTGACATCACAGAAATGTGGTCTGAGGGCACAGGCTGACAAAGTGGGATATTCACATCACTGGCCAAACTGGAAACAGTGACATCCAAGTAAAACGTCACAGTATGTTGCAAAAAACAAGCGAAACAGTGATTTTCCCCCTTAAATGGATGTTAGGAGTGTGGATGCCTCTACCAGACACTCCATCCCAGCATGCTCCTGCACTGGAATCCATGCTGAAATCCAGTGCTGCCCAGTACGCACCAGTACTACCCAGTACAGACCTGCACAGTGCTTGGGGACAAGGGGTCTCCATCCAGGCTGAGGGATGGTGGTTGCAGGTTCAACCAGCAGCACCCACAGCCACGTCCCCTCCTCTGGGGCTGGCGGGGGCAGGAGCTCACTGGTGCAAGAGCACACACCCGGCACCCCTTGGGCTCTGTCGCGGGTCCCCCCAGTGCCAGCACAGCCCCGCTGACCTCCCAGCACCCCTGCCCGGCCCTCTGACCCCTCTACGGGTCTTCTGCTCGCTGCACACCCACCCCACGGCACCCCATGTTTGTGGGACCCCCCCAAAACCTGCCCAGACCTGGGCCTCCCTCTCCCTCGGGGTTATCCGTCGAGCGCTGACGCACACCCCGCACACACCCCCGGCCTGGGGAGGACACAGACCCTCGCGCCCCCGCAGCCAGCACCGGGCACTGGGCTGTGACCCCTGCGCAGGGCCTGGCCCCACCACAGCCTGGTCCCCCCAGTTTCCAGCCTCGTCCGCTGCCAAGTCCCGGCTCAACTTCTCCAGAGCCCACCCACCACCACCAACCACCACCAGGCTGGTTTCTGGTTGTTGCCTTCGCTGAGAATTGCTCAGGTTCTACGTCCCCCCTTTCCCTCTCCCTTTCCTTCTCCCCCCAGCTGAGAAGATAAAAAACATCCTCAGGCTCCACACGCCTAACTAGTGCCACTCATCACACGTCAGTCAGGTTTGTCTTGGCATTTTTTTCTTACGTCTCCTCTGACCAGACACCCTTATGGGAGCAGACACTCTCCTTCCACACAACCTTCAACCCGCTTTAGAATGAACATTTTTAACACCTCTAAGCAAGCAGCAGTCTTCCAGCCCTAGGTGGCAATGCTCCTGGAGGAGGGTGGCTTTGTACACAGTACCAAGAGGCAGAATGCCTTGGGTTTTATCTCTGATGTCGGGCATTAAAGACTCAGCAATAAGCATTACCCACAAATCCTTCAGCTTTTAAATAAGTTATTAAGTTGCTGAAGGAACATAAAATTTTAAACGCTACTTTCCATTTTCAAAAAGAAAAGAAAAAAAATAGTCAAGAAGGAGCAGACCTCTGAAGAGCAATCAGTATTCCGGGTACGTGTTCTGTATAGGTGCTCTCCACTTCCACCTCATGCTCAGCCTTTGTTTCAGGACCAAAAGGTTCCAGGACTTATCACTGGCTATTAAGGCTATGTCTAACATAACTGTGAGGCTCTGAAAAGCCACAGATAAAACACTGAGTTGCAGGAGGTTTTTTTATCAACATATTAAAATTTTTCAGGCATGAGGCTAGCCTTCCCCCTGTCCCCCCCGCCCCCAGTCTGAACTAGAAAAAATCCACAGAGTGAAATAAATCCTTGTTCTTAGCATGAATCTAATCAATTCTAATCAATTTAAAAGTATGAAGAAAAAATCATTAATGCAAACATTCCCCTGTTTCATGGTAAGCAGAACAGCAATAAAGATACAGGTAGGAGAGCGAGAAGAAAAAGAAGCACGTAAATTCTGCTCTGGAGTTGAGAAAGACTACCTGGAAATGGTGAAGTTGAGCCACCACATCAAATCAGTATTCTTTACTGAATACTGACCATGATAGGCTGAGAAATACATCTTAGTTCCCAGGGTCATCTTTCAATGGTTAACTTCTTTGGTATCTACCCCTTAATGCATTTGTAAAAGCAGAAAAATTGGCGACATCATGCTACTGGGTTCATCCTTCTTCTACGCTTAACAAAATAATGATGTTATGTGCTTCCCAGCATCCTCCCCACAATGCTCCTTCCAGGCAAACCGGTTCTGACACCCTTCATCAACAAATCCATCAGAGCTGCTCCCATCTTCCCCAATCAGAGAAGAGGAAGGGTGTGTTTTTTTTTTCTGTGACAATCTCAGACACAATCAGCTGAAGAATCACCTTGCAGCTGTACTCCTATCTCGCTTCCCAACCCGATAATAACAGAGCTAATGAATTATCAGAATATAAAGCTTCTTTATGACAGGAATTAGAAGAATCAAGAGCCTGTACAGAATTGTGTGTGAAGGGCTAAAAGCTGTGGCATACAGGCACTTGTAACCTACTCTTTGTTATTAGCAGTGGCTTCAAAACAGAAAGCCAAAACACGGTTTCAGAGTGGAAGATTAATTCCTCCATGTTTAATAAAGGGGAGATAAAACATATCCCTTTGATAAATAAATTTTCTAAGAGAAGACGTGCACTAAGACTGGTGTCTACATGGATTAAATGTTCGTTTTGGACTGTAACACTCAAGTGTTCATTGTAGTATCGCAATGAGAACGCATACAGTACAGGTCTTTTAAGGAAAAAAAAAGTATCTTCATGTGAGGAAGGAATGTGCAATCCCTGTCCTGGAAATTATTTTGCCAACCATAAGCAGAGTTTCAGCCTCCACCTTTCATCTCTTATTCAATAACTGCTTGAGCAGCAACCATGCTCTACCTCTTCCTACAGTGGGAAGATCCTCGCATCGCAACAGCTCCCAATGAGTACCAAAACTTAACTGAAATAATGCTAATTTTCAAGCACTTTTCACATCTTAGCCAAAGAAGAACCAAAGCAGAAAAGGAAGACGGGCAAACAAGCCAGTGCTGCACTACTCATAACCCCTCTGCCGAGGATGGATCAGGTCCACACTGTCCTGCAGCCACCAGCAGGTGCAGGGGGTGAAAAACCAACCAACCAAAGCAGTTTAAAACAAAAACTTTGGTAACAATGCAGAAAGGGACCTGACAAACACTCCAATCAAAGCTACCTGTGCACCTTCACTGTCCAGACCAGCAGTGGGCACCCCAACGAATTTTTACCAGTCATAATGTCTTTGCTCAGCATTATGCCCCGGGACTCTCAAGTAACTCTGAGCCTTTTTCTGGGTAAGGAATCCTGCAGAACAAGCATCGGGATTAAAAACCATCACAGAAATCCTGATGTCAGAGCGACGAATCAGTTCTGAAAGGACAGTAACGCTTCAGCGCCAATTATCACCGTCATCCTTTCAAAGTAAAGAATGTATTTCCTGCTAAGTAAAGAAAAATGGGCTGAGCAAGCAGCACGTATTTTGTCCTCATGGCTGTAAAGCATGACTTGAAATGGCAGGATGCCTTAGGGAGGGTCTTGTTTCATACTGTATCTGGTAACACACGGCCCTGCTCTAATCTGGAGCTTTGAATTCCTACAGTATGTGGCTCCACCTTCCTTTTAATACCACCCTTTTTAAACCAGCAATTATTTAACACCACATTTTACACCAGCAACGCACAGGCTCCATTTTCAGACAGACACAGAAGCTCTCCTTGGTAATTTCCCTCCGCAACAGTAAAAAGAGAACAGATCTTTCCAGATTACATGCAGTTAATGACACAAGCATGAATCCACTCCAAACAGAGCAGGGGGTTTTCGGAGCAGAATCCCCCACGATGGGAGTGCTGAATTACACACGTGGTTACTGTGCCCCCAAGGGGGCAACACTGAACACGGTGTTCAAGAACAGGGCAGCAGGACCACACTGCTCACTGCAACACTCAGTTACTGAGTCCGGATGAAGTTTCACATTTCCCACCTCCCTGTCTCTAGCAGTACAAAAGAAAACAAAAATGTGATGTAGAAACAGGTCGGGTACGTGTTGATACTCCTCCTGAATACTCTCACAGATTCACACAATTTGTGGCCAGGGGACTTCTTAATTTCAGTGTATGTTATAAACTGTCCTGGGTTTCTATTGAGTGATTTCATCCCATCCCATCCCATCCCATCCCCCCTTGAAAGTATTTATATTTTAGCATCCAAAAGCTTCTAGGGCACGCAGGCCTCAGTGGCATACAAAGCGTGCAGTGATCTGAAACTGGTGGGGGGGCACACGTCCACAGCAGACGACGTCGAAGTGAGGGGTAAAGGAAAAACACAGCAGCTGTCGCTGAGACTTAACACTGCAGACAAAACTGCTGAAAGCCTTGGAACCTCAGGAAGGAAGGAGAAGAAAGGAGATTTCCTATTTCATACACTTCATGACAGCCTGCTGCAAACATGTGGACTCAGGACTGGGATGACAAATGTCAGGGAGAGAACAGAGGGACAGACATGGGAAGAGAGCAGCACATCGCTCACTCGTACCGGGTGGCAGGTGCATCCGAGCTGCAAATATATGTGAGAGCTTCGAGTGCACGAGCAACCACCAATTCCAACAACGTTCTTTTCTGTTAACATCTACTGTGCGAAAACATTTCATGAAAGCTGATTTAGATTCTCAAGAAGTGTCTGATTCTCCTTAGAGTGTGAGTTCAATGAACATGAACAATGAAGGCCACGACACAAGGAGCGTATCCCTGGGGTTGAACCTTTGTCCTTGAGTGGTGCCCAATACAACCACGAGACACACACACCCCTGCACCGTCAACTACAATGATAAAGAACCACCGGTAACTTCTTCTGGTTGTGTATTCTAACACACCCGCAGTTTCCAACTCCAGCAAATCTGCCTGTTTCTACAAGACACCATGTAGAGAGGCACATTCAGTTGCTCATCATTATACTGACAGATTATCTGTATCTCAACTTAAAAGCTGACCATTCGTGGTCGGGAGTAGATCCCCCACTCTGCCTACACGTAAAGCTTGAGTAGCACTGCCGAAATGAGGCCAACCAGTACGATGGTACCTCTCCTCTGCTAACGTACATTAGGTAATGAAGCAGACAATGATCTCTCCAAGAGCAACGCAGTCCCGTGAAGCAGGGTATCAGTCCTCTCCCTTCCAAAACCCTCCTGCAACACCCCTCTCTGCTGTGCCAGACGCAGTGGCATCATCAGCATAACCTAAGGGCTGCTGAGGAACTACCACAGGCTGCTGTGAAGGACCAGAGTTAAACAGGTATAAACCTTGGGGTTTGTTTCCAGGTGGGCTTTTGTTTTCAGAAACTGGACAGACTGAATTTAGCATCCTAGAACTCCAGCTCTGCTTTATGTTTGTGGCCACTGAGCAGATGAGGCGAGAGTGGACCCTCGGGAAGAGAAGCAGGGAAGGATTCTGTGCATCCTTTACTTTCCAAGCTCGACAGCCACCAAGCAGAGCGGAGGCTGCTGGAAGCTGCTGCTGGACTGACCGGCTGCCTCCTCCAGCCCGACTGCCAGCTGTGCCTGCGCCCCTCCTGTGCCAGCCCCCCGGCACGGCACAACGCTGTGGGTCTCAGAAGTGTCACTTTTAAGCGAGGGGCTGACACAAGCTGCAGCTGCCAGCTCTGCTCCCGACACCGCCAAGCAGGATGCAGAGGGAAGGGCTCGCTGCAGCAGCGGGTTCACAGCTCCCCTCCGAGCGCCGAGGATGCTGTTTATCACACAGCTGCATGGACCAGCCTGCTACGTGGTTTCTTTTCTCTCCTGCCGAGCAGCCACAGGAGAGCCATTCCAGCTGTGGGCTTCAGCACCTCCCCTTCCCCACACTCCGTCTGTGTCACCCAGAGAACGTGTCTCCTTCCCACAAGGCTTTACGATCTCAGGATGGGAGCACTGCGTGGTGACGGCTGAGCAGCAAGCCACTGGGAACTTGAAACGTAAACACTTCCCGAGGAAACGCTCTCACAAACTCACATCTGGCGGCACATCACAGACACGCTGCTGTGACTGTGTGCAATTCCCAAACTACAGTGTTATTAAACGTACCATCAACAACACGGCTAACTCCTAACTCCTTTAAAGCATTGTTTTATTTTATTGTATTGCGACGCTAGAAATGGAAAGATCTTAACGAGCCACTGAATCTCCTCAGCACCCTGCGCAAGTGCGTATGTCACCAAGCAGGTTTCTATTTACAGTAAACACGCTGTGGTTTGTTTTTTTTTTCAATCTGCTTTTAAGTCTCCAAAAAGGAAAAGCTTCAGAAACCTAATTCTACACCTTAACAGTACTCATTTTGATGTTGTGGCTAATGAGCACCTCCTACTCAAAACCTGTGTCAGACCTTCCCTACCTTTGCTTTTAAAGCTTTACTCTTCTCTCACTCCTTCAGGACTATACACACAAAGAATCTGAGAGACAGAGTCATTTATTGTTATTTTTAGTTAAACAATGAGCATACAGGCTTTTACGATTTTCCCTTAGATATGAAGACGAACTCTTCAAAGACCTTTGTATTTCCTTGTCATTTTTATAATGCATCACCAAACCTTTTTCTATCAGGGAGGTGAACAAAGTCAATATTCTAGACAAGATTGTCCACAGCTATCTATGGATAGATTATAAATGTTGGTTTTAAAAACTGAAGACTACAGGAATAACCTCTAACTTTTAAACAAAGATATAACACTGGAGACACTTGGGAAAGCTGTACAAAGATTCTGAGTTGCTGCCTCAACTGCTACAAAAATCAATGTTTTGGTAGATGTGAACCGTGGCGGGGCTAATGCTGTTCAGTGATCCTAAGGAAAAGCGTTTTTATCTACCTTCGCTTTTAAGCATGGTAAAGTCAATGGAGTAAGTCAAACACACAAAGAAACTCACAAGAGGAAACACACGTTCAGTATTCTGAGGAGTCAAAAAGCAAAAGCATCAGAACAATAAACTTAGTAACAGCCTTCTCTTCTAGCTCGAAACATCTTCTCGGTGAGAGGTCAGAAACAGTACCTCCACCACCCAAACTACAGGCTTCAGCTCCCACCCTTCCCAGGCAGAAGTCAGCACTTCCACGTTAAAGAGCAACAACGAGCAGTCAAGGAATCTGACATTAAACTGAGGATGTATAAAGCGACAGTGCTGTTTAAGAAAATGTTCGACTGTCTGGAGAAGAAAGGAGGAACTCGTTCCCAGGCTAGAGAGGTATTTGGACAGGAAAGGAAGATAATTGCTTTAATCATCTACTTCAGAGGACGGTAATAAAAGCCCTCACTGGCCTTGATTTGCAGTGCAGTCAGACACACTGCAGCTTAGACAAAGTTATTTTCCAAACAGCTTCAAGTACCGGGCACACCTATTCCCGGCCTCCCTGTACCAACGACTGGCATTTGAAGCCAGGGAGTAGAAAAGCAGACAAATTGTCCTCTTTCTGAGCCTGCTGTCAGCCTTCCCTGGGGAAGAGCAGAGCAGAGGCTGTGGGGGCACCAGAGATCAGTGCTGGCACCTTCCCCTTCATCACCTACCCGCATCCCTGCAGCGCACAGGAACCCACCCCCCAGCCCCCACCAGGGCCGAGGAGAGAGGAGACCCTCGAGGGGACCCTCCCGAGCACCACCCCTGCACCGCCTGCAAAAACAAACGGCTTCTGGCTGTTAACAACAGCCGCTGGGCTGGCTGTAACGCTGCTGCTTCTGCAGACGCAATGTTAACCCAGCAGGGACTCCTGAACTCCTAAATGCCCATTCCCAAGGAAGCAGTATCTTGAAAAATCAGTGTTTTTTCTAAAATACAGCCCTGACCACCTATTTGCAAGAGTGTAAGGGGGCAGCCCAGGCATGCAACATCGATGTATGCATTAGGGTTTGTATCTTTGGAAGAAAGGCCAGGACACAGGCAAGGTGGGAAGTGTCACGGTGCGCGCTCTTGCCCGTAATTACGGACAATCGAAAAACCAGGATTGTTGGGTGTGTCCCTGAAATGTTGGGGTTTCAACCCTCAGCCCCACATTAAGGCTGACATCTGGGTGACTCCCCCAGCCCTTCCCAAAGCGGGGTGGGTTTCCCTTTAGGCTCCCCCCAGGGTGGGCGGCCTGGCAGACAGAGCCGTTGGGTAAAGGAGCCCCAGGGGTCCCGCAGTCAGTAACCCAAGGTCAGGGGTCCCACGCAGGGATAACAGCTGGGACCCCTGGCAGGAGGGGCAGTGTCTGTCTGTGAGGGGGATGCCCTGTGCAGAGTTCCCTGCTGGGGAAGGACCTCCCGCCTCCCTGGGCTCCAGGCAGGTCTGGCTTTTGTAAACGCGGGCTGTGGAGAGATTCCGTGTGTGGCTTCCTTGGTCTGATGTGTTGGGCTTGTTGACTCGGTTGTCTCCTGTCCCTTCTATGGGAGATGCATGTCACCATTTATCCCACCCATTGCTGGTCGTGTGGTGTCGTTGTTGGGGTCAGTGGGATTGATGTCCGTTATGTATCATCTGACTTGTTTGTACCCCCAGCGCTCACCCATGTGCTGACCCTTTTATATCAAATACAATCTGATTATTGGTTCATCTTTATGCTGGCCGTGTCCTTTATGCTAGGCCTGGTAACTGGCAAAACAGTCCCACAGGGTGTCTGCAGGACAGACACATCCACTGGAACCATTTCCACCGATACTAACACGAAATATTTGTGGAAGGATGAACAGGACAAAGAAATACTTTCAGTAGGCGGCTCAAGCAGCACAAGACAAAACTATACATTCCTGGAATGAATAATGAGTGACTACGGTCATCAGATAATTATCTGAAAACCACCACTTTGTTATCAAAGGACAGAAATCTGTATAGGAGGAAATTCACAATCAACTTTTCTTCTTAATATGTTCAAATACTTGAATTTACCTCTGCTGCTTCTGCTTTTTTCTCTTCTGGTTTGGAAGAAGCTTCTCTTGCCTTCTTGTCACCATGCTGTAAGTAGAGAAAATAGATGGGTAGTTACTAAGATCTTTAATTATAAATTCTATGTAGAGAAATTCCAGAACATCTTAGTGTACATGTGATGCCTTTCATCTGCCACAATACAACAGAAGGGAACATTCTTTTTCCTTCTTGCTAATGGAGAGGATTTCTAAATGACCTGTGGGATAACTTCAACCAAAATCACAGTCAGGAAGTCATGACCTCCCGGGCAGTACAGGTAACACGATGGTTCTTGTGAAAAGTTCTGGAAGATACTGAGCTTATCGCTCATTCCTCACCAGCACTGCCCTCTCCAATACTTGCTTCGGCAACGCTGTGGGCCCCACAGGAGCTCTCAGAGAGCCCAACACAACGTCACAACCACGAGCCACAAGCCAACACCTGAACAACCTTCCGCAGAGATGTCAGGATGCTCCCTATGCCCATCCCTCCCTACCTGGGAGAAAACTGTTACTACAATTCCTAGAACTCTGCTGCTGACATACAAAAAATAAACGCTGTAACCGTTCAGATACAGGTCCACATTAGGAAATACAGTTCCTCCAGGTTCCCCAAACCTCCCGCAGCTTTCATCCCCTCCCAGACTTTAAACCCCTTGCTTCCATCAGACCTGATGTGCCATCCCATTTGCTCCCCACGTGCAGCAACATACAGCAACATACAGAAAGGCACATACAGAAAAGCTTGTTCAGTTTTACTCTCTGAAAAGTGCTGAAGGCGGCCCCTCAAAAACCATATTTTTCAAACGCATACTGTGTAACCTTCAGAATTAAAAAAAAAAAAAAGTAAAAAGCAAGACATTTTACCATGAATGTAAAAGGCAACATAATACAACGATTATCTAATATCTCAGCTAGTGTAACTTCCCCTGGCAAGTGAGACATCTGGGAATGAGGACTCCTGTCTGGTTTGTTTTGTTAAGTAAAGACAGGAGATGATTTGAGGCCTGTTTATTCCCTTCTGCTTTGAGGGCTGAGCAGCAGGAGTAATGAAGTAATGACTTCCTACAGATTTTTCTTTACATGGCTATAGGGAGAAAGTAATGATCCATGTATCACTGCACCTTCTTCAAGGGAAACGTGTTCAAGCTCATCAGCGCTCAGGTTGGGAAAATATTATAGCTGAATGAACAAATAAAACTAAAAGTAGCCAAATAGCATGTCTCTCATCTCTTTCCATTACGGTGGTACACGACAAAAATGTTGAAGATTGTTCAGACAACCTCTAATAATTCAAGTTTTTAAAATGAGTTTGGGCATGGCTGGGATACTTGACAAGTTTTAAAATTGAAAGTGCTCTTCACATATTCCAATTGTGCCTCTTCAAGGGAAAAACAAGTCCCGTAGGTTGTCTTTTCAGATGACAGATGAATTGATTCACTGCTCCATAACAGCACTTTCGGTATAGACACAATTAACCCAGTTATCTGTGCGTTTTACTGCTGCAATAAAAGCACACCACATACATCCCAATAAAAGCCACGCCGGTGAGCGTGCTTTCGCTGGCCAAGTGGCAGCCCCAGAGCCTGCATTGCTGGAAGGCTCCTGCTCAGCAAAACTCGGCTGTTTAGAGCGGGCTCTCTCCTCAAGCAAGCACTCTGAAAGCCAAGTGCTACCCCAAATCCAGCTAATTCACCTCATAAATTGAGCACACCTTTCTGCTCATTGTGTGGATCTTACTGCTTCTGTTCATTTGCTTCTTCCAACGCAGACAGAGCTTAAACAGCAGCGATACCAATTAAAGCCCAGCTTTGTTTAGTTTATTTTCCAAAGCTGCAGAATGCAGGAGCCTCACTTAGATCCTACTGAGTGTGCCAGACTTTTACCAGGGACAAATCCAGTGTGACCCTTCCTCCCCAAGCCCTCTCCTCGCCCTCGCACCGCCACCAGACAGGACACCGCACCGGTCCCAGTCCTGGGACTAGGACAAGCGGGACAGGCTGTGTCCCAGTGGGCAGGTGGAGCTCACTGTCCCCTCTGGGGTGTCAGGGCCCCTGCCCCTGCCCGTCTTCCCACCCCCCGAGCAGGCTGGTCTGTGCTGGCTGCGGAGGGCAGAGGGGGCTGGCAGGGCTCCCTCCAACACCTTCTGGCAGAAGATCAACTCCACGTCCCTGAGAGACCCCAGGGCAGCTTCACCACCCAGAGGGGACAAGGAATGGGCTGGGACAAGGACACAACACTGCCACTCAAGGTGGAGAGAGATTAAATGCTGTCTTCCCTCCAGAAAGCTGTCAGACCGCACCCAGAATAACGAGACTTTGACCAAAAGACCAAATACTATTTTGACCATGGGAACAAAGCACGTATGGCCTGACCAAAGTCATTTTTTTTGCAGTAAGTTGGAGTCAGGCACTATGTACACATTAAGCGCTGACACTCTCTGGCCTCAGATACCGAAAAAGCCTACGAAAGTATTACCTCACTTGAAAGTCTGCCACCCCGAGGAGGTGGCCTTGGGAGGCACAACTGCCCAAGACACCTTCTGAGAAGACTACACCGGCTCCCTGAACAGCTGATGCTTAAGACAGGAGAGAGAGAGAGACACTGTTTCAAAAATGCCCTTCAACAGCTCTTTTCTGCTCTGTGTTTTCAAGCTTTGACCCGTCTATTAAAGAAATAAATATGTAAATAAGACAAAGCCAATAAATCAATCTGCTTAGCGAGAGTCTAAGCTCAGGTTATTTAGGACAGTATGCATGCATTGCTCCTTTATGGTCCCAAGTGGACGACAGGGTGGACTTTTCCTTTGGGCACACACTTCCCTTTTTCTGTCCGTACAATGCTGAAGAAATGTGTCTGTAACCATGCCAGTGGACACAGAACCATCTCGGTTGGAAAAGACCGTGAAGATCATCTACTCCAACCAGTGACCTCACACCGACCGTTCTCACGACAGGAGCAGCTCCAGCTCTGCCACACAAACAGTGGATGTAGAGTTCGTTACATTTCTAGTTTAACTAACAAGCTAACAACAACTCCTTAAGTCGGCGCAAACTATCTCCCAACTGGACTAAAAACAAAAAGTGCAAACCCACCCTTAATGGCATGTCCACAAAATGGACAAGTATCATGAACAAGAACGTTTATCCTGAGATCTTCATCCTGTTCTTCAGGGCACAAGCGTCCTGACACTGTTGTTTTATGGACACACCTTTAACATCTGATTCAAAGAGCATTCATAAAGAAAGCAACTGGCCTAGGTGAGAAGCACGTAGTGAAATACCAACAACTGAACACACGGCCGCATTCTCAGCCTGCGCTTGTGAAAACCAGACCTCAGCTAGAGGTCTTGCTTCAAGAAATTCCTTCTAAACCTCTGGGGGCCACCAGCACTCACGAGCCCTTGGTTCAAAGCTGTTGCGCAGCATCTCGGAGGGCTGCAGCGACGAGACGCTCAGTCAGTGGGTGAGAAGGGACGTCTCCTGGCCAGATTCTGGGCTGAAGGTAACCAGCTCTGCAGTACAGATATTAAAGGGGATGTGCCATTTGAGGTGGACAGCGGCCTGACCGCCACGTTCAGTCGCAACTGGGAAGAAAGTGGAGGGAGACCTCTGATGCTGCTCAGAAAACTGTCGGATGGAAGGAAGTGTCAGGAGAACTACAACCGAGCTATGTACGGACAGAAAGGCGAGACCTAGATTCTTCTTACAGCCATCCCATTCTCCTTGAAACACACCAGCCTGTAAAAATCTCGGGAGAACAACCAGTGAATCTCTTTTGGGCCTGGCCCTTTCTTTCACCTCTCCAGCTTGGCTTACTCACCCTCCAGACCGTGGATGAAAGCACCACGTGTGACACAGGCGCATGGGGTGGGGAGGGCTCCAGCCTCACGTGGAGGCCTGCGCGTGCTACTCAGGTGCCAGCAACTGCAGCGACAGGTTTCCCTCAGAGCATGCACAGGAGGGGTTTCCTCACCTGATCACGGGCAGCCACACTGTCCCTTTTCTCACCCTGGATCCAGCAACCCCGGACCACCGAGGCCTTTGACATTCGTGTCATCACTTAACGCAGCAATCCCCAAAACTTTCCTCCTTGTGACTCTGCTGTCACCTCCACCACGCTGTGCCACTGATCTGACGGCGTAATGAATGACACAGGAAAACATCACTCAACACTGATCCAAGCTACTTAAACCACTTTAAAAGTGCAGCTGTAAATTCAGCATCTGCCCGGTTACGTATTTAGGAAACACACTGAAGTGATGTTTCCTCTGAAAGCCACCTTGCACAACGCCTGCTTTCTGTAAAACTTTAACAGAAGGCCAACTTTTTTTTCTTTCTACTCCAGAGAGACACCAACCGTTTCCTTGTATGACTAAGAAATTATAAAGAAGACTTTTAAATGCAATTGCAGGTTCGTCACAGTAATGAGCAGCGACCTAAGTCCAGCCAGACCACGCAGAGCCATCAGAGAGCTGTGGTTGGCTTGG